GTCAGGTTATGGGAGTCGATGGGCACGAGTGCCGTGTAATGAGTGCTAAATGTGGCGGCGATTATGTTATCCGGTATGAGATTCCTATGAATTCATACAAACTTTTAATATATTTATGGTTTTATATACAGAATATTCTGTGAAATACATACATAAACACATCGTATATACTCTCGTCCTGACTCGCAATCATTTGTTTGATATCAACACCAGGGTCTCCACTATTGTCTACTACCACTTCATTATCAGTCGACATAACCCTAACACCGGGTTTTATAATACACATCAAAACTGTACCAAATATTGCCGTAAATGACGAAAACATGACAATCAATACGAATGTCAATACAATTAACCGTTTATTATCTCCACGTTTAGTATTAGTTATGCCTTTAATACGGAAATAATTATTTGTTTTAAATTAAATAAATTTTAATTTATGTTACAATACTTGTGGCCAGAGATGAGACAATAAGAGGCACTATAATCATCATAAATGCCCTGATAACTAGTTTTCCCGGGAGTCCGATATAAGTCAATAATAGTGGACTTATAGTGAATATGGACTTCAGTATAAATCCACAAATGAGTCCCAATATAGCACTTATTATAATCAATAGGGAGTAGACATTGTCCTTGCACCATACCTATTATTGGTATAAATAATTAAATATTAAGCACTAATTTTAAAAAAACTAAATCAAAATAAAACCATACTTTAAATGCTTGTAATCCCATTTTAAATAACTGTAAATGTTTTTGTCATTAGTAGGAAATTCAAACACAATTATTGATTTAAAATATTTGCTATAGTAATTGCATAGCTTATTTTTATAGTTTATATAAACTTTAATATAAATAAATAGTTATGAGATTGTAATCACAAATCATATTTATTAAACAGTTGTCAATAAATTAGATATAAAGCAAGATTTAAAAAATAATTTTTTCAAATTGCTCATTTACACTTCAATTATAAAATAAATATGTTAATAAACTATCAAATATAATTTATTATATTTACACCATTAATCATATTAAAATAAATTACATTTACAAGTAAATAACAAAATTAAATAAGTAATTTGTTAAAAAATATTATGTATGATGTTCAATATTTTCATGTGCACATGTTTAATGTACTGAATATGTGTTTGTGATAAAAGTATACAGGGTTTATTATAACATGTCATTTAGGTTATATTTGATAACACGTAATAGGGATGTGAATAAATAATGTTGACACAAATACACAACTTATTTGATAATAAAACAATTAAACTATCTAGATTTGTTTGTATATTATTTAAAATATTTATTCAGAGTACGGCTTTGTAACCTTGATACCATATAAATGCGTTTGTTTAAAAAATACTTTATATTACTTATTTTAAAATTATATTTATTTAAAGTTATGGTTTAGTAGTACTAAAATACAAAAATTACAAATATCTTTGCATAACAAGTAATTTTAGAAATATATTATTTAATAATAGAAATTTATTTTTATAAAAAGCATGATCAGGTTCGCTTTTCCTTATTATTAAATCTATTACACTATTACACGTTATTTATAACTGTATAAGATTGTTTTGAATTTTTAATTCACACAGTATAATTGCTCATTACACTAGACCTAAAATTGTATTATCATATATCTAAATTATCATTAAAAAACAAGTTGCTTGAATACAATATAATGTTTTGTCTCATTGAATGTAATGACGTGATTGTTGATCGTATGGATCGCACGGTTTGCGGAACTCCTGGCCCTTCCATAGGAACAATTTGCCGGCAATCCATTTGCTGCCCACCAGTACTGGACATCCGCTATGGCGGGTATGCCTATCGAGTTCACCTGATTTGTGCAAATTGTACCAAAATATTGCCGACCGTTTTGCGGGCCATACGGTGACATTGATTAGCGGGAATACCGTGGCCCCACCGGCGCCCACATCGTTTAGGTAGCTGATCCACGT